CACACCATCTGAGGGAAGAGGAAGCCTCAGAAGGTTTAACTGACTTAAGATATATACTGGAGTTACTGGAGCTTTCCACATTCCTGAGAAACTCTCATGGCTGTATCTAAGCTCTAAAAATTATTAAAAGTCCTGTATGCTTTATGCACGGGTCAGGCTTGGTCCAGCCAAGGGCTCCTGTCCTCCAAGAGAGCTCTTCTGTCCTGACCACATTCTGTGATACACGGTTGTTGTGGCTTAACCCCAGCCAACGACCTCAGCACCACACACTCACTTGCTCACCCTACCCCAGCAGTGAGCAGGCTGGGGGTGCACAAGGAGTTGGGAGGGGACACGGCTGGGACAGCTGACCCCAAATGACCAAAGGGATGTCCCATCCCATATGACATCATGCTCAGCATAGAAAGCTGGGGGAAGAAAAAGGAAGGGGAGGATATTCAGAGTGATGTTTGTCTTTCCCAACCAACTGTTACATGTGATGGAGCCCTGCTGTCCTGGAGATGGCTGAACACCTGCCTGCTGGCGGGAAGTGGTGAATGAATTCCTTGGTTTGTTTTGCATTCATGGCTTTTACTTATTAAACTGTCTTTATTTTAACCCATGAGTTTTCTCATGTCTACTCTTCTGATTCTCTCCCCCATCCCACCAGGGGGGAATGAGTGAGCAGCTGTGTGGTTGTCATCTGGGATTAAACTATGACAATGGTGGTGTGCAGCTCTAATATGAAATTAATCCCAGCTTGTTACTGTCCTTTGTATCTTGTTCTACTGCTTTGTGTGGTACCTACAGGGTGAGACCCTGCACTACTGTAACGCAGTCCTTTGAGTGAGAACAACCATCACCAAAAGGCAGTGTTCCAGCTGCAGGCTGTCCGCAGCATCCTGCAGCCAGGAGCCCACCCTCAGCGTCCTGGGTGAAACATCCCCCTTCAGCTAGGGTTTCTGCCTCTACTGCACAAATCTTAGGCTGTGCATCAAATGAGGCTTTAAATTGTGTTACAATAAATACTGAACAGAGACATGCATAGAGCTGCAGTAATAAAAGAAAGGACTTACAGAGCATGTTCATGGTTAGACAGGAGCTGGTCTACTGCAGAAGAGCAGGAGGAGCTTGGAGACAGAGGAACAGCTACTTTTAGTGCAGAAAGAAGGCAAGACAGACACAGTGAGGTAGTAAGGGAAGAAAGGAAAAAACACAGATAGTTAACAGGAAAACGTTTTCCAACTAGCCCGACATTAAACAGCAAAGAGTTATATTCCAATAGTGTGAAAGTTAGAGCTACATCCCCAAGCATTCCACTAAAGGGAAAACCTGATTTTTACATAAAGGGAAAACCTGATTTTTACAGTAGTGGTACTAAGTGGGTTAGAACTGTATGAGCCATCAAGTGGGGTCTTTGTTTTCATAAACCATTTTGGGAATCTTTCAGCTTTTCGAGAATATCCTTTTCCTGTCTCACTGATGTGACTTTAGGCAGGAACACTCTGCTGAGCCCATTTTCCAGAAGGTCTTCAGTGTGGCTCTAGGAGGGGATCTGGTCGCTATATACTGTCTTTCTCCTGCTAATTTCGTGAGTACCACCAGACCACCTGGTCTGATTGAGGATCTTCTCTTGAGGAAGCAACCTGTATCTCTTAAACAAAAGTCTAGGGACTAGTAACTAGGCCACATAATTTCTACCCGTGATAACTGACATGTTCACTGCTAAGAAATTTGATCTATGGAGGCAATGCAGACCTGTCAGAGATCCCTGGCTGGTGAACCCTTGAGCCTTTTGACAGCACTAGTATGCTGGAAATGTCTGTCTGCTTTTTTAAGTATAGATGGGGGAGTAGTAGTTGAGCTCCTGATTTTGTCAGACTGCAGTGCAAGAATACAGCAGTTACTATTTAATTTTTAGTAAAGTTACACCCGGCTTCTAGCCAGCACCTGGTACTAACTTTAAAAATATACTGCTGTTGGCTGTGAACAAGGTACTACGGGTCTCTCACCAATCCTCTGAAGTAAAACAGAATTACCCATGCTTCTTAACGCACTCAGCAGTTGTAACTCCCATTCCTAGTCTTGCATATTAATCCTGACCAGCCAACAAGAGCCTTGATAAAGTGCAAATGGAGAAGAAAAATTTCCTATATAAACAGCAGCAGTTCTGATGTGGAGAAGTTGAGAGCTTCTTAGGCCTTTTCATAAGCAGGGATTTCCTCGGATTTGATGTTTTTTTTTCCCCATTGACAAGGTGCTTGGAGATTTACAGGCAGGCCTTGGTCCCTGCTGTAGATTTTGATGTCACTGTTCTCTTCACCTGGGCTGCCCTCAGGATGAAAAATACCCTGTGTGTATAGCACAGGACCTTGCTAAATGTTTGAACCAGTTGTATCCTTTGGAAGGGAATCTTTAATTTCTTAACATACAAGTAAAAGAAAAGCCATGCTGCAGCTGATAATATTATCTACTGAATAACTACCCTCACTGTTAGAAATTTGTGCTTTATTTTCAGTACAAATGTTCTGGCTTCAGCTTTCAATCACAGGATCCTCTTTTCACTGCCTTTTATACTACAGGTTGTCTTTGACTGTCTTCTGGAAGCTTTGATTAAAGACCAGCTTCCCCTTTAGGTAAAATAAGAGATCATCTCTGAATTTCTCACCGTAAGGTAGGCTTTCAAACATTTAAGTTACGCTGTGCTTTGTTCCCCCTGAATTTTCTGATTTTTTTTTTTGATGTTCCTGACTTTAGCACATCAGAACAGGCTACAGCATAGCCTGTGACCACACCATGTCAAACAGAGGTCACGTCTTTATTTCTATTTGGATATTCCTTCTATTTCTTCACTGGTGGACAGGAGAGAACCTCTTGCCCTCCTGAACCACGGATGTGCTGAGCTGCCAGATCTGTGCTCAGCTGCCTGCCCCTGCTTACTCACAAGCCTCTGCTGACCATCCCTTCCCCTGATAGACTCCCACTTACAAACAATTCATGGGGATCAGAAAAAGGGATTCTGGTCATCCAATGCCTGCCCAAAAAGGGAGTTTTGGGGAATTAAGAGAAGCAGGCAGCTGAAATCTAGCTGTAGGGGGATGAAGACAACATGTTTTGCCTTTCCAGCCTTGAGGTGATTATCTCCACCCATATCTTCAGGTCATTACAGACACGCTTCCAAGAACCTGATCAGGAAGTCATGATATGAGAAGATGAGGTTTTATCCTATACTTTTTTTTAAATGTAAGCATCAGCTGTAGCCCTTATTTCTCTGAGGCGTGGCAGATCTAGACCTTATTCTGCAACAATAATAACAAATAAAACCCAGTGATAAATAAAACAGCACATATGGGAACAGGAGTGTGCAGTCAAAACTATCTGCCAAACAAAAGAGGACAGAACAAATAAGGAAACAGTCAGTACTCTGCAGGTTTAAATAAGGTTTCACAAGCTGTAGAAGACATGGAGGTTAGTGCAAAACACAAGTGAATTAGCAGCTCCACTGAATGATGAGGAAAAGAATTACACATTAGGGCAAACTGTGAGAAGAAGGAAAAGATCTGCAGTTAACAGACTTGGCTTATTTTCTGCATTTGCTTACATCTCTAGTTTAATAACGGCCTTTTCCTTTCATCGCAACAATACCCTTATACGTCTTCCGAATCCGTCTATCAAGTATTTTGAGAGCATCATATCAGGAGCTGCACGATTTTTAGATTGGGATTTTATTCTCCTTCTGCTGACTTAAAATGGGGGTTGGAGGGAAGGATTAGCAATACACCCGTGTGATACACTTGATTGCAGAGGTGGAGTGCCCACATTTTGGTACTGCAAATTCCTTTCTGCAGGAGTTTGTCTTTATCTGCCAATTTCTCTGGGGCGAGAGAGAGGTCCCAGTTTAGGCACATAACCAGAGTGGTGGGATTACCCACCCCAGGTAACTGCAGGCTTGTGGCTATCTCAGACCTCTGCCTGCCTCTGCAAAAGAGACATGTTTCTGACACACAAACACTTGGATTCTGCTTGACTGGCCTGTTTTTCCTCCCCTAAAAGCCACTGAACTAGCTTAAGAGGCTACAGTAGTGGTGTCAAATTCCATCAGTGGCAGTGAGAACATAATTGACAACTGAAAATGATCCTGTTTGGGCACAGAAGCTTTGTAAGGCTAACTTAACCACGAGGGACGCCTCTCTGAGCTTGTGATATCTGTGTCATAGTTTAACAAATCCTGTGGTAACAACAGCTGAGAATTTTTATTGGTAAGAAACCAAATTTCAGGCATCTAAAAATTCATCTGAATTAGACAACTTTCCGTATGTCATGAGAGTATAATTTAAGGTTGTCCCTTAATATATGTCTGACTTACCTGAGCGATATTTCAAAGACTAGTCTCTGTAAAATTGCTTCTCTGTTGCTTCCCAATATATGTATTTTATACTTAAAGGCATGTATGGGTTTTGCAGGTCATGAGTATCTAAGTGTTTCCAAAACACTCAGCACCCAGGTCAGTACTGGAAGCCAAAGGGAGAATCATTGCTGAAAATCAAAGTCCTTTAGTCTGGGGCGTCCTGAAATATTTGCTTATAAAATTCTCTCTGTGTGTGTGTGTGTGTGTGTGTGTGTGTGCCCACCCGTTGACTTCAAACAAGATGAGCACGTGAGGTAGGACAGCTCCAGGAGAGCATGGCAGCCCATACTGCTCAACCATTAATTAATCTGACAGTAAGAAGCCCAAGGTAAGCATACACAATTTTACAGCCAAATCTTCCAAGGAAAACCCATGTGAACTCATGCATAGGGGAAAGAGATTTTTAAGGAAATTAATTTAGCCCACAGCTTATTTAAAAGGATTTTTATGGGCTTGTTTTAAAATGTATTAAGAATAGAGATGCTTTCAAAAATGGAAAAAGAAGTGGTGTGTAACTGAAGTGCATAATTTCCCTAAGTTCTTTGGGCTGTTTGGTTTTTTTTTCTAGATTTCTCTCTTGCATCCTGTTTTTTTCACTCCTGTATGATCACAGAAGCTGAAGGGGGCTGTGCCTAACGAGGAGCTCCAGCAATGCCAAGGTGCATCTCCGTGCTGGGGAGGTGGATGTGACACTCCTGCTGGGGTGGAGCTGAGCAAATGTTCCCATCTTCTGTGCTGACAGCACTGTGCCATTGCCAGGTGCTGTGTTGTCGATGGTATGAAACTGAGCTCTTTGAGTATCTCTTGGTAACACTTCTTGAAGTGTCACTCGTAATTGCTTTCTTGCCTACGAAGTAGGTGCTTTGTGCAGTCCTTGTCTCAAATATTGTATCAAAGTGTTATAAAGTGCTTTCATTGCTAATAAATACTAACTACAGTGCTATAAAAACTTGTCAAAAAGCACCATAGGACATGAATCTCACTGAATAAATTATATATTTAATACATTAGTGTAAACTGTTACTGTTTCTGTGCACTACTGGGCAAATTATAGATCAGTCAATGATAAGATTAGTCATACATAGCATTAACATAAGATATGACCGGCTTCTTGATTTTTCTTTTCTTTGGTACTAGTACTCAAGTTTGCCTGTTTGGCTATGCTCCATTTCATGCAGCAGCACTGCACCCCTCCATTCCTTCAAATCCATATTGTGTTTCCTTGATTCAAAAAAAAGCATATTATTGTGGTTTGAACTTAAACAGCTGTTACATGTCTTTCCAGAGGTGGCTTCACTTCAGTGGAGAAAAAATGCTGCCAGGACTCAGACCTTTGGAGACTTTGAGGCCAAAGGATTTTCTATACTTAATTTTGAGAGGGGTAAGGATTTCAGAGCAGTATAATGCTCCTATGAGTATGTCACATTATATGATGTGTGACATAACACCAAGGCAAAATGGAGAAAAAATATGATGGGATGTAAGGAGATGTGAACTACCTTTTTGTTCTTCCCTTCATACAAGTGGACATACATGAGGATAAGCTAAATGCAGTCTAACATTCACACACTTGTGTTGGGTGATTTAGAAAGCAGTCCAGAAAGGGTTAGTCTTTGCAGCGGTGTTTCCCAAGCTACTTTGGCCTGCCTTCTTCCAGGAGAGTGCAAAATGCAGACTGATGCCCTTGCAAATGTCATGCCAGTGCTTGGCTGATGCTACGGGCCGTGTGAGTACCTGCCTGTTTTCAGGTCTAGGCAAGCTAATGCTTGGTTAGTGACCAATGGATCAGTGGTCCTCTATAACACTGAATCCTCCTGGGATTGAATGAACTCATTAACAAAACCTCTTATTAGCTTCAAAAGGATCAACAACTGACCTGGAAGAGCATCTTTCTGAACTAGAACAAAGTTAATGATCTTGAAAGCAAACGCATCCAGCTGCACTCGGATTCACAGTACAGGTAGCAGCATTTGCAGGTGATTCAACTGCTTGCACGAGGCTCAGAGTGCATTCCCACTGCACTGGTGCATTTGATGTCATCATGTAAGGAGGCTGCTGCAGGCAGTGATGACTGCTGCAACAGCATCTAACAAATACTGGCTTACACCTGACATGCTTCCCAGGTAATAAGTGCTTCTTTAGTTACTGAAGTGCTACACTGCATTTGATGGGCCTACGGAATAACACAAATCAGCAGCCTAATTAACATCCTTTCTGTTAAGTCTGCAAGAACATGTCTTCAAAGACTGTTAGTGACAGTGACACTTAACAAGTGTCAGACAGAATCAACACTCTTCCTTGAGGAACTTGATTGACTTTGAAACTACTGGCTCAGTCACTGCCAAGAAAGGTTTAACAAAGCAAGATGGTTATTTTGACTTCTGTGAGCTAAAGCAGCATCAGAGAAAAGGAAGAATGCAGGATGGACCACAGCAGTGTTCCTGCTTTCCAGCACAGTACTGTTCAAGCAAGGAAAAGTAATACAGCTCAGCTGTATCCCAAGGATTTCTCTGTTGTGCAAGACTCATTTCAAAACCTGTGCCTGTAACATGTCTGTGTTTTCTGGAATAAAAGTTAAAGAAAGTCTAGCTAAAGGCTCCATGGTAGGACTCTGACTCTGCTGTATGTGGAAGCACACAAAGCTAAACTGAGCGTCTGCAGGAGCTAACGCGCCTTCCTTCCCTAATGAAAGTAAAAGAGGAAACATATGAGTGAGACTATTTGCTAGTTAACTCCTCACTCTATTAATAGGACACCTTCCACGGGAAGAAGGGAAAACTGTTGGAGCTGTCCTCTAAAAAATCCCCATATTTTTTGCAGTGAAAGTATGCGATTGAGGCAATTTCAGCCAGCTCTGCATCTGACAGTGCCTACGCCACTTCTCCATGGTCAGAATGCCTCTGTGCTTGAGAGTTAATTTATAAACATTTTACATAGAAAATGCTGAAGGTCACTTTGATACAAGTATATGACATCTGTGGAGGAAGTAGCTCGCCTCTTTACGACCAGCTGTTTACATGTTATCACTCCCTCAGAATGATCTTTCAGAAAAAAAATGCACATTTCACCACAGAGAGTGACGGCTGAGTCCCACTGTGGATTTATCAGTTACCACTGACATCAGGGATACCAGCAGAGACCTCTTAAACTTCCAGAAGATAGTATTTCTTCTATTCCAAACAAATCAGTCCACCCACAAGCTTCTTTGCTGGTGGTCTGGAGCCCTGCAGCAGACTCCTGGCAGGGCACTGTTACAACCTCCCAGCATTGCTCAGACTGCAAAAAGCTCTGAGCTTTTAATGTAGATCAGAACCTTGTAACACCCTTCAAATACCCTTCACACTTGGATCTATTATGCTGGTCCTGCTCACCTGTTGCCTCTGGTCCCTAACAAGTTAAATTCATACAGAATAGAAGACATTGCTAGAAAAGTTCACTCCAGCCGCACAGAGATTGCAGCCTCCTTCCTTATTCCAGCATCTCACAGCGCAGTTAATTACACTTGATATGGCGTGTGCTAGTAACATTTCCTATGCTTCAGTGACCTCTTGGGAAGTTTATAGGTTATGAATTTGAAGTAGTGTTTATAGGTTAAATTCAAATAGGAATTTTTAAAATAGAGGATGGTTGTTTTGTACTGACTACTATGTAGACTGTGGGAATAAGAAGCCATGGATATGAACATCAAGAGAGAGGAATTTTTAATAAACGAATTAACAGGATGTAACAGGAGAAATTAAAAAGACTTATTTTTAAAGATGAAACAGAACTTAAAAAGCATCTAATAGTGAAAGCTATTAGAAATCATGAAAGTGTTTCAGAGAGTAAGGAATCTGCTTTGTCTCTGGAAATTTTAAAATAGACTTGGGACTATGACATGTGTCAGTCACAGGTTCCTCCAGCCAGGAGTTACTAATCTTGCTTGTTAAGAAATGATTACTCTTCTGATTACAATGCCTACAAAATATGAAGGCTCATAGTGAAACCAGTCTTCAGATTATAGGATTTCAGATGGTTTGACATCAGTAGCAAGAAAATACATCCAGGTTTATCTATGCAATGTAAGAAAAAGACTTCGGATTTTGAGGAGCTTATACATCTCCAAGGAGAGGACTACAGTTTGTCATCAGTAAGAGAAAGTAAGAACAACATGTTTGATTCAATGAGCTGTTTAGGCAAGAAAAATCATGTAATTTAATCAGAATTAAATGAAGACATAGAGTCAAAGGAAGAATCCCAAAAAATCCCCCATTGATAGGGTTGTGATCAATGAAGGCATCATATGCCAGGTATAAATCTCATTAAGATGCAACCATAAAGCACAGCATAGCAACAAGAACAAAGATGAGCTCCAAAACTGCCTCCTAAATGTAGCTACATTCATTTTAAAAATACTGTCTTCTGTGATGGATGATAGTAATGCTGAAGTAGCCTGTGATAGCTAAAGAACAGAAAGAGTAATGCAGAGAAGTAAGGACTGGAAATCATCGGTTAATGGAGGAATAGCCTTACTCAGCTGTATGTAATGGTTGATGTAGCATTTGTAAGTCATTATGTACTCCTGAAGGCATACATAAAGAAATATTGCATCTTTCCTGGTGGCAAAACCAAAATAAAACCACATCTGTGTCAATTCACAGGTCAGGTCATCTATTCAATATGCAAATGCATACTGAGCAGCAGATGTTAGCAACTATAATCTTTGCTATGCTAAATAAATAAAACCAAAAACCTCAAAATGGACAATTTACTGTTTTGAAATGTGCAGTTTAAGGTAGAAAGATGCTTACAGCTGACTAAGAACTGAAATCACAGGCAGAAATCACAGACAGGCTCACAGCAGGCTTAGCGGGTACCTGAATTTGATGAAGCACGTAAACCAGGCAGGCTGGCACTAGCACCACCCAGCAATCGGAAACACAGGCAACAGTTAAGATCCAAAAACTGGCAAAATGGTAAAAGGCAATCAAATCACAGCAGATTTACTGAAAGTCCTTGACACCTTCCTGGAGATACCAAAGAGCTGCCCAAAATGTCTGGAGAGTAACAAGGCTTTTCTTTCCCACAGACACACCAAAAGCCTTAGAAACAATTTTAACTACAGCAATGGAGAAGCTTTTCCAGTGTGAGTTTACAGAGAAAGAGGCGGAGCATATAATTAATATAATTCTCCTACAGCAACCAAAAAGAAAGAGGGTTATTGAAAAATGAAAATGAAAAAAAGAAGTTAACCTAAAATTAAAATGCACTTAAACAATTAGCCCTGAGTTTGAGAGATGTCTACTGCCAGAATGAATAATAGAATATAACAATAATTGCTTAGATTTATATAGCATCTCTAGCCCTAAGGTATGTGGAGCTCTTTGCAAATGCTGATATGCATTGTCTAAAACCGCTTTGACTGATAAAACATATTAATCTCTGGAGAGAAGGGTAACAGCCCAACGCATTCAGCATAGCTGTGCAAAGGTCTTGGTTGGGAGCTGTGCAGCTGAAACAGAAGGGAAGTAGGTGGGTAGTAAACTGCTACCCATAACAGAAATTATTCAGGTATCAAAATTAGTTTTAAACCCTGTTGTGATCCTCTGGGATGAATGGAGAGTCCCAAAGGACTTGGAATCCAATTCAGTAGGTCATTATGTGTTATGAGTGATGTATTTACCTAAATATAATTGTTTAAGTTGCATTCAATTATTTAAGTGATATGTTTTCAGTAAGTCTGGGACAGGAGTTGTCAAGCAGTCCAGGTGCAGGGAGTGCAGTGCTATAGCCAGCAGTGCTCCTCTCTGGGCAAGGGCTCCCAGCTCCCAGTGCAATGGGCAACGGACTCCTAACGACAGCTGGAAGGCAGGTAAGTTACACACATCTTTGTCCATCTCATTGCACCATTCCCAGCACCAGCTATTCAGCCTGTCCTGTATTCCCAACACAGAGCACACTGCTGTTGAGAACTTCAGCTAAATACCATTACATGAGGGAGAACTCATTTTTCAGCAGAAGCCTTCTGCTTTAGGTGTATAAACCTGAATAAGTATCTAGCATTGTATCGTTGATTCAGGAAGCAGAGCTGGGATTAAATTAGGCAGTCCAATAATGGTGCTCCATATTGGTAAGGACTCAAGTGAAATCAGATTAGAGCTCTTCCCAACAGATGATGTCCTGCTTTTTCATCCAGGCCTCCAAACCAATTAAAGTTACCATTCAAATCACTTTGTGCAAAGCCAGAGCTCCTTGCTTTTACTGGCAGGAGACCTAGAAGGATGGAAAAGTAAATGTGTGGAAATCTAGCCCATCTTTACTGAGTGAGTCTCACCAGACAGATGACTTCCCTGTATTCTTCATGCACTTGCTGTTCCCCCACACTATCTTTTGCAGGAGAGAGGAAAGGAAACTTCAAGGAAAGCTGCAGATGCTGCACAGGAGGGAAGTGGATGGGAGCATGGCAGTAGGTGCTGGGGCTTTGCAGCAAGGGAGGCATTTCTGAAGCCCTTGGGAGAGCACAGTCAGAGCTCTCCAGGACTCCGCATGGAAATCATGTTCTTGTTCCAAGCCAGCAATTGCAAAATGCTGGTGACACGCTGTTCATTATGCAAACTGGCTGCGCAAAGCGGAGAGAAATGAGAAACAGTCATGCATGTCAAAGACCAGAGAGGTTTAATTGGAAAAGACAACAATTAATGTAAGTTACTTAAAGTTTCCATTTGAATCAAAGAGACAGTGAAGTGAAACCCAACAATAATTGCACAGAGAAGAAATGTTGACCTGCAGCAGGACTAGCCATCCCTGTGGCTTCTTCCCCTCTTCTGCTTTTCCTAATGGCTCCCTTCCTTCTAGCACTATCCTCCAACAGCACTGGAGGGGCTACTATCAGCTGGATCACCACAAACATCTGTAAACCAGATTGGTTTCCATTTTTCATAAACAATAAACAGATTAAGAGAGGCTTTGCAGAGAATAATGGGGCTGAGCCAGGGTGGCATGGGCAGCCCGGCAGCTCCTGGAGTTACTGGACTGAGCCCAGCTTCCCTGGATGGCCCAGAGTACAAAATCTCCACTGTTTCCTGCAGAAAGGGCTTTCCCAGAAAACTCCAAATTATATGGGCCATACCACAAATGGGGAGGCACTGAATCAGGGGTTAGACATTCCCTAGGGAGATATAAACCAGGGCAACAAACAACAAATCTCAGATTAGAAGGAAAGCCTTAACTGGGATCCTGCCCCACCAGAACACATCAGTTGACTTCATTACCCAAAGCACAACTCATGCAATTAAAAATAGACAAAGATGAGTTGGTATTTCAGTTGCTTCCAAGCTCAAGGTGCCCTTCAGTGCCTTGGCTTCCCTACCAGAAACAGACACAGAAGTTCTGATTTTGAATCTTGCATTAGGCTAAATAACAAAAAGGGGTTTATCTTAGCTCTTATCTCTTTTTCCAATATACAGACATATTGAAAGAGATTACCTTACTAAAATTGAAAGAAACTGTGGTATTTCAAAACCCTAATCCCTTCCTTCCTCTGTAGGAAATAAGATAAGTATCTTGATTTTACTCGGTACAATTAGAAGCAGCTTTTCTCTTATCAAAAGTTCTTAGTTTCCTCTAGTGAGGCATTTTTTTGAGCTGTGTACCAGGCTTCATCAGTGTCCTGATTATCGGCAAGACAAGTGGGTTTTGGATGAAAGAAGGTACCAGCCTCCTCTGACACAGGCTGCAGTGCAGGTGCCAGCAGCAGCTCAGCCGAGGGCAGGAGTCCCCGTAGGAGCTGGTTTTTACCGGGACAGGCAGTTTGCTTTGGTGTTGGGTTTTGTGGGGCTTGGCTGGCAGGTGGGACTGGTGTGCAGTCAGGGAGGACCAGAGAAGAGGCAACAGGCACACACACTGCCCGCACAGACTGTCATGGTGCCAGCAGAACTTCATTGTCCCAGGGAGCTGGTGTGATGCTGAGCAGGGGAGGGGAGCCAATGTCACTCCATGCCCTTTCCCTAGACTTTAACCTTTTTGCAGAAGAATTTTGAAGTGTGAAAAGAAAAAAATCTTAAAACTGTTCAGCTTTTAAATTTAGCACAGATCCCTAGGAAAGAAAAAGAAGGGAAGGGTGGGAGGAGGAAACTTACCCCAGACATCACAGATGACAGTTGAGAGAAATTAGTGTCTCGACTTCCTACCCTGGGGATAACCCAACCTCAGTAAAAAGCCTATTGCATTTACAAATACAAAGAAAGGCTTCAGCAATAGCTTTAAAAAACACCCACAATAAAAAACAAGTCCACCCCTACACAAGCTGGAGGTACACTGTATGCAGTGATGCTGCTGGTTGCTTCAGTAATCACAAGCATGCTTTGCCTTCCCAAAACCACGACAGGGGCACAGCAGGGGCTGTATCTTAGACGGTGAGCACAGCTTTGGAGAGGGTCCCGACTACCATGTCTTGCCATAAGCTCCCACCCCCACACAGCCTTTCTGACTTCAATTAATGGTGCAAATCCTGCTCTTTATTTTCCAGACTGTGATGGAGTCTTCCTTCCTCTTTTGCAGCTCTTGGCCTTTGGGATTCTTTTTCTGATGTTTGGATTTTAAATGATGTGGGAAGTGCCTCCGATGCCTGCCCAGGGGTGTTTGTGCAGCAGAAGCCCAAAGGCAACTTGATGCTGAACAGCCCAGCATCTCCCACTCCCTTCCCCTGGGGGTGACAGTCTGACAGAGAAAGCCTGGAGATGTCTGTGTCACTGTTAAGTAAAAGGGGCCAAAACCTCTGCTGGCACCGGCTCCCACTGACGCACAGCTGCAAGCGCGTGTGCATTTGTCACTAGCTGAAGCAATCAGCGGGGTTGTAGCACTGGCCTTGGCTCTCTACCCTTTCTCCCGTTTCCCTTTTTAACCCTTGCGCTTGGACAGTGAGAATCAAGCTGCTGGAGGAGAGCTGACAAGGCCGAGCGGTCCGAGGCTCGGCAGTGGGACCATCAGTGGAAGGTGGGCGCAGACAGTCGGCATGGGGAAGCAGCTGGGCAGGTGATGAGAAGGGAAGGAGCCCTTGCTGCAGCTTCTCATGGGCCTGGCTGTGGCTGTGGCTGCGGCTGCTCTGCCCTCCACACATCCCTGTGTGCACTGCCATGCTAGATGTATGCCCTGGCCATTGCAAGTGCTTTTGTCCAGGGTGGATTCAGCCTCTGCGGGCAGCACATCAGCTGCCTGGGGGAGCGTTGTGTGCCACCAGCTGCCACAGGGTGCCCTGTGCAGTCACCTGTTTGTAGAAGTCAGAAGATACAGAAATACACACACTGTTCTTCAGATGAGGGAGAGGGGATAGGATGGACAAGACAGTTGTGCAGATGATGATGTCCCATCTTTTGGTTTGTAGGTTGTTTGATACTGCACAGAACAACACACGGCCCAGCACTTTGCCATGTGTGCAACTCTATTTTTATGGTAATAACTTCTGCTGCTGTGGAACATCTAAATTTCCTGACCCAAGGGCTTCTCTGCTCTTGCACAGCAGAGTGTATAATCTCACCCTGCACTTCCTGACTCAGCCTGTATCTCCTGTTTTAGCTATCGTGTACCTCCTGATATTTATAGCTCTCTGTGTCCTGCTCGTGATCCTTCACAACTCCCAGTCACAGTATTTGTGAATGCTATATTAGAAGGCTGTTACTGTGGAGAAGACTGATGCCAAGTTGTAAAATCATGCCAGGGAAGTTGGAACATAAGTTTGATTGTAAATATTGGCAAAGCTTCATAAAAAATTACAAGTAAGCTCCTCCAAGAAATTACAAAACTCTTTTTTTAGTTGTTATTGAGCCTAATGAACTCCTATATTTTTACAGAATACCTCTTCAGGTTTGCAGCTAATGAAATTTCAGTGAAAATCAAATTATCTCTTGACCAAGATTAACAACAGTAGCAAATGGGAAGACCTAATAAATTCTGTACTCTAATTCCCCAGTCTGAGCCTTTTCCCTGGTACAAGACTGTCCCCCTGTACTATTTTAAGTCCTTTGTCCAGCCTAGCTTTAAATGTCAGAATGAGATGAGGCATCCATTGTGTGTACTGTACCTGCCATCACATACCCTCTCTGAAGAAGAAACCGGGAAATAGGAGCAAAGGCACAAAAGAAATGTATTTAGAGAAGTAACAGAGGTTATTTCAAGGTCACTGAGAACACTTGTGCTGAACTGAATGCAAACCAATATACACTGGTGCTGCCTCTGCTAATACTTCAGGGACAGAGGCAGAAGTTGACTTCTCCTTTCTTAAACTCATCACCCCCCTGCCCCCAGACTGCAATGAAATACGCTGGCTCCTTACAAAGCCCCACACTACTGAGAGCTGATCAGCTTAGGCCATGGTGTGGCCTGCCAGCTCAGTGCTGTGTGGTATCCCTCTGCTCCCCAGCTGCCACCAACTGTCCCCCGCTTCTCCTGGACATGGCTGCCAGGGTTTGAGCTGCCTTTCCCCTCTGAAATTGTGCAGCACCCAGCAAAATGGTGAACTGGCTCCTGGCTGGGCGCCCTCAGTGCTAGTACAACAAAGCAACAGATTGAAAGCAAAAGGGCTGGGGACATCCTTGTACTGGAGACCAGGTCACTCAACCAGCAGAGACCCCTGTCATCACCCAGTATGTCCTGAACCACACAGGCTGCAGTTCTTCCCTGAACTCACTCTTGCTTTGTGTTCAATACCTGTTCTTGAACTAGAAAGGTTATTACAAATAAAGTCAATCTTCAATCTTAAATTTCTAGTGGTAGAAAACTGCATATGATAACCTGTTATCATGGCTTATGGCTTCACTGTTATCATGGCTTCACTGTTAAAAGTTAACATTATGTTTCCAAAGCAAGTTTTAAACTTCTAGGTCTTTCCCTTGCTACACATCTCTGCATTAGATTTCTGTACCCAAACAGACACTGATCTCTCTGTTTTCTCTAGTACAAGATAAAAAGTTCGTGCACCAGGACTGTTTTGTTACAGCCTTTTTTGAAATCTTTAATCACACTTCATTTTTTCCAGCCTCCTTCCGGAGCACAGTACCCCACTGCCAGCCCTGCCAGGCAGCCCCGGCTCGCGTCTGCAGGAACGGCCCCCTCCACCCTGCAGGCTCAGTATCGAGTGGGAGCTGACGTGCAGCATCGAAGCTTGTTTCACACTGGCTGTTTATTAGCTCAGCCTGTGGGCTGGGGTTGTGTTCAGCATGCCAAGAGGCACAGCCATAAAGACCACGTTTCTGTAACTCTCTGGAAACATTTCCCTTGTGCTCAGTTAACCAAGTAATTCAGAGCGCAGAGTAGCCCTGTGCTGCAAGCTGCTATTAATGTTAGTCTTATACTATCTGCATATGTTATCAGCAATTATTTTTTTTCTCCAGAGAGGAGATTAAAAGCAAGTATCTTATGGCCAAGACCTGTTCCTTACGAATTCTGACTACAAATACACCCGCTAGAAGGTGGTAATTTTATTATGATTTACAAACTATTGGGGGTGATCTAGTTAATACTTGCCATGCTGATGTAGGTACCAAGTCAAACGTTTCCCACTTCTTGCAAACTGCAACCTCACAAGATTGGAGAATTGAGATCTACCTTCCATAATCTCATGTTTACCAGTGGTAACATTACCAGGGACATTATCCTGTCTTTTCAGATTGTGTCATATTATGTATCGAACAGTCTAAGCACTATCATGTAAGCATATTGTTTTTCCTTCCCATTTATCTTTGGGTGGAATTTTGTGCCAAATTCAGATCCTGGGAACAAGACAGAGGCAACCTCAGGACACCAAGCTCTGATCCACAGGGTTATGATCTTGAAAAGTCCACTTGCCAGCTATTGGGAAATACTGCACTGCAGCCGCTGTCCAGAGAGGAAAGGTGAGGTAGGAAGAGGAACCCAACCTGTGACATCTTTTGGGAAATAGGGACAACTTCTGTTTCTCTCACTGTTCTTTCCTGGATGCAAAATCAGCAAGATCGGGGAGAAAGCTGCACTTTATATAGGCAGTGTGGTCAGGTATCAACAAGACTCGAAGCAGTTCAGCTCTGCTTCTGGTTTCCACAAGGGTCAGAATTAAGGCCAAAGTGAGGCTTTGTGTGTTCCAGAGGAAGTTTTCTGCTGTCACAGTCATACCATATAATGAGATGATTTTTGTTAATTCATCAAGCTCCAGCTTGTAAAAAATTAGACATTTTCCCTCACTAGTCTTACTAAGAGGTTGTTTCAAACCATCACTGCCATGATGGCTGGAAACTTTTATCTAATTCCATGCTTAAATTTATTCCTGGCTACTTTATATTCATTTTTTCTTG